CAGAGGAAGAAAGCTCTGATGACTGGTCCATAGAAGTCAACATCCTGGGGTCAGGGAAGACAGAGAAAATAGATGTTGGGGTAATATAAAATCACAAGAATAGTTTCTATATAAGTTTAGGTAAGTGACTTTACCTCGTTGGCTTTAGTTGTCTCCTCTATGAAACAAGTGTTTTGAGGCTGTTTTGAGATAATACATGCAAAAACAACTATAAAAGAATGCTCATTAAAATTATCCCTCACCTAGTCTTGCATGCTCCATCTTATAGTACTTTTATCTCTTTGACAGTAACCCCTCCACCTAAAGCTGTGACCACAGCCACTTAAACCTCACTGTTGACTTTCTGAAGAGTTTCCTGAGACAAAAGAGCCATGGATATAAACCCTCATCCGAAGATATGGATAGAAAAAAGAAAGGAATAACACAAAATAAAAAGGAAAGTCCTCATTCAATGAAATCCCTGTTCCCTTCTCACCTAGGATTCCTGAAAACAGGAACTGAGACTGAGTGGTATCTGTGGGAAGTTCATAAGTCTTTTTTCCTACCCACCCCAGGTGTCTGCCCTGGGTTTAAAATCTGTTCTTCCTTATCCCAAAGTCTAGAGACATCTAGAGAGATTAAACTGTTCTGGACATATTGTGCTAGGCCAGAGTCATCTAGGATTCTAAGGGATTAGGCATTTCCGGAAAATCAACAAGTTTGTGAGATTTCTAAATCTGGGCCTATTCAATTAAACACAATTCTGTAAGTAAAAGCTGTGTTGTTACATAACTAGAAATAGCATTGACATTTGCAATTACAAGTATGCTTCTCTTTTTTGGATATGTTGCCATTATTTTCAGAGCTAAAAGGCACTCTGGAGATCATCTAGTTGAATTTTCTCATTTTTCAGACGAAGAACTCTGAAACACAATGACAAATACAGAACAAGAACTTCACCTTGGTCCCTAGGTTACTAGTCAATCGTCTTACTGCAACACTTAGCCTCTTTATATTAAAGCTCTATAATCAAAAATTTCTGAGGTATTAAATTCTTTATATTAAATAATACCAGATATTCACTTTTAAATGAGCCCTGCAATTAGCTTATTTGTGAAAGAGAAAAGTTTTTAAAAATAGGCACACCAGACAGTGCTCACCACAATTTTATAAGTGTCCCATAACTTCATCTGGGAGGAAGAACATTCTTTCTTGTTGACAGAAAGTAATCCATCATGGCTCTTGACTTTCTCATTTTCTTAATGCTATATAACCATTTAATCATTTTTTAAAATTGCTATAATAATTCTGTCTCCTTTATTTCTCACTCTAAAAATAGTAGCTGTCCTTCATCTGCTAATTTCAATGGCTTTTAAATATTGCTGTCTGTTCTATATTTCAAGGATGACATCTAGCTGCGTCAGTTACATAGACCCCGCCAGCAATACCCTGTTTGACTTACTCAGATGCCTCCAGATCTGAGTAACTAGAGAGTTGAGCATTTTCAGGATCTGCATGTTAGCTCTGTGGTATAATGACTGATGTCAGCCTGAACTTTGCCAAATATCTCTCATCACTACTAGTTATATCCCATTCCAAACGATTGGGCTTGCTCTCTCTTTCTGGAGCACACCCCCTTTCACATATTTGAGTATGGATTCAACAATATGACAATCATTTTCTTTCCTTAAAGTGCCATTCCTGCAATGGACAAAAATAACTTGTTACTGTTGTCACTGCCTGGTGGGGGGGAGGTGGTAAAGGGGAGATGAGAAGTTGTAGTAACTAGTTTGAATGTGTTTAAGCCCCCATCTTTATCTAAAACTATTCTGTTCTCCTGGCCCAACTTTCTTAAATTCCTGGTTATTCAAACTCCCTGGGATTTTAATGTTTTCTGGAGAAAAACAACAAGCAAATGTTGACTTGTATGCTGAGCCTATGGTTTTTAATTTGCTTTAGGCTTGGGCCCTGGAATCCATTGGCAGCCACAGGCTTCTATGAGTGTTGTTTTATTGATTAAAAATTTAAAAAGGTACTATGGTGCACAAAAATAGGGCATGGCATGCTTTCCATAAGCTGCTAGAACAGTTGAGGGAATGGACAACTCAGCCAGGCAAGTAAACACACATTTAATAGTATGGCAACATGGATCAGGAAAAAGTTATTCTAAAGCATAGCGTCAAGAGAGAAAGAATACACTCTCCATTTATTTAATGTTTTCCTTATGTTTCCTCAGAACAGTGCTTATTCCTTGACAAGCTTTTCCTGCATACTGCATCTAGTACTTCTTTCCTGGGATGGCTCAAGAGCTGCAGCTTCTCACTCTGCTTGTTTATTTATTTACACTGTCATTCCTATTCTCATCCAAACTAACATATGTCTGCACAATACAGAGTGAAAAGTAAATGTCTGTCTTCATGTTTATTTCCCTGAAGTTGTTCACTAAATTGCTTTTTTTACATCCCTTTTGCAATCTCATCCCATCCGGCTCAAGTATCCCGGATTAGAAAGGCAGTCTCTGGAGTCCTTTTCAAAGGGAGCCTCCCACAGCCTTTAAATCCCCCACATTTTATGGTGCAGATATTCAGGATCTGAGGTATTAAGTAAGAAGGAAAGCAATGCTGACTGGGACGGGCATAGAAAAATAGAGTAGCTCCTTTTTTGGATAATCATTATTGGAATCGTCCTGTTATCTCTAACTTTTCTGGTTCAAACGGATAAACCCAGTCATTTGCAACTGGACATTATGCAACAGATAAAGACGGGGAGTGTGTTTGTGTGTGTGTGTGCCTGCAATGTACAGAAAATAGCATTCTACCACAGAGAAAGAATTGCAAATGGGAATTCTTAAAGATAAGCCAAAAATCATAACCTTACTGGGGTTGTTGTCTTTCCCATAATATAAAATCTAAAGAAAACTACTCTTACCTTCAAAATTCCAGTACAGGTAAGCAAAGTAATTAATAATTTAATTAAGGAATTATCAAGGAAAGGCCAGACTCTCAGATTCTAATTTTTAGCACTTTAACAAGAATGTATATTTCATGTTCCTTTCCTTTTGCTTCCAGGCCATTTCATCTCCTCAATCCTCTCTTCTGGGCTGTATAACAACCACACCATTGAAGACTTTAGAGAAATGCAACAATTTGAAGTATTGCAAGCTTGCAAAATGGGATGGTTAGGAGCGGTAACTTTTTTATCCCCCTCACTTATAAACACATAAATAGAAGGCAATCCAGTTTAGGGATTATAAATGAAGGAAAAAGAAAGAAATACAAATCTTACTTGATTTCCAGCAAGGCTTTGGCTATCTTCTAAACCTAAATTATTTGAGCAAAAGAATTAGCAAGGTGTTTCTGAATCAGGGACTTTTTCAAAGTGACCTCTCGGAGGCTGTGTAAAACTGTAACGCTATAATGTAGAGTGCTTCGAATATTGTTAAATACAACTACCTATTAGTTTATATTAAAAAAACTTTGGGGGCTTGTGACTCAAATAATACTTCTTCAGTAACTTCTGGAAGCTCATCGACTTGTGCTACTGGAGGAAAGAGGTGGGAAGCTTAACCATTGACTAGTAACAGCCAGGGTGTACACCGCTCAGAAATGCCGGCCCTGGGTTCTCCCATCCCTGGGTGGACCAGCGGACTTTATTTTCCGCTGCCATGGGGCCCTTACCTACGCTGGGAACAGAGGAAGTAGTGGACCCTCCCCTCCTCCCCTAAGACTGGGAAAGATCTTTCTGAATATCATTCCCTCTTCCCTAGACGAGAAACCAAATTGCACAACAGATCTTCTCAAGATTGGGAGACAGAGGGTGAGAGAGCGCGCGCGCCAAGCGAGGGCAATCAGACTAAGGAGAGAACTGCCTGAGGGGTGGAGGAATCTCCCGGAGCCGCAGCAAAGGCTCAGTTTGGAAGAAAGCGGCAGTACAACTGCATTTCCAAAGGGACCGTCCTGAACGCACACACCGCTGAGTCCTTCCCACTCGGGGCAGGTAACCCGCGGGCGAAGTGACCGTCTGTGCCCACTGAGCTCCTCCGGACCAGCCGCCCGGCACCCAACTGCAGCTACCTTTATTGAAAGGAAGAAAGAAAGGGAGCAAAGCAACGGAGGGGTGCTCAAGAAAACTGGAAAGGAGTCCGCAGACAGAAACCCCCCAGCGATCTGCCTAGGTGGCGAGGGGCGAGCTGCCCTGGGGCCGGTCGTGGCGCGCCGGCGTGGGGGGTGGAGGCTCGAGGTAGCAGTGGCGCTCCGCGGGGAGAGCCTGGTGCGCCCAGCCTGAGGCGGTGGAGACCAGCCGGGCTCAGAAGTGGGGGGTGGGGGTCTCGCGCCCGCCGGGACCTTCGGCCTCAACACTCCCGGCGCGAGCGCGCCCACCTCTCCCCGCGAGAGCTGCCTTCTGAGGGGCTCTTCTCGCCGCGCTGTGCCTCCCCCACTCCCCCCGGCTCGCGTTCTCCTTCTTTGCAGTGTCCAGAGATGCTCCGTCGCAGACCCGGGACCCCTTAGGCGCCTCTTCCCGTCCCTCTGCCAAATCGCAACGCCTGTACTTTTCCAGCTCCCTCTTTCCTTCTTGAAATTGAAAGTTATTGAGGTCGCTCAGGGTTGTTGCTCCAGCAGTTTCCTTCCCCGCCCCCGAGCTCCCCCGCCCCCCGCAGCCATCCCCCCTTCCCCCTCCCTCGTCCCGTCCTTCCCTCCCTCCCTCCCTCCCTCCCTCCCTCCACCACTGGAGCGGCTCCTACTCGCGAACAGCAGAAGCAGCTCGGGGTCTCTCCGCCGCCCCTTGGCCATGGCCGCGGTGCCGACGGCGCCCGCTCCCCTACGATCCCCGGGCCCCCGCCGCTGTCGCCGCAGCCGCCGCCACCTCTGAGCCCCAGGAGCCGCCGCCGCCGCTACCCGCCCGCCCGGATCCCGCCCGCCGCCGCGCCTCACCATGCTACCTGCGGCCGCCCCGGCGAGGCCGCTCGCTGCTCGTGGAACCCTCGCTCGCGGTGTTGACAGCCACCCTTGCGGAGCCGCCGCGGTTCAGGGCTCGGACAATTTGAAAGTACAATAGTTGGTTTCCCTGCACCCGACCCGCTTCGTTTGCCATCCCAGCACGCCTATCGGATCTGACTGGAGAAGTTGTCCGCAGCTTGCGGTCTCCCTCCCTATACGCCTAACACCTACCTATACTTCTAAAACATTTATTATAATTAACAAAAGAAAAAGGAGAAAAGGAAGGGAAACATTACTGGGTTACTATGCACTTGCGACTGATTTCTTGGTTTTTTATCATTTTGAACTTTATGGAATACATCGGCAGCCAAAACGCCTCCCGGGGAAGGCGCCAGCGAAGAAGTAAGTGCAGGGTTTTTTACACGTTTGCTCCCTCCCGCCGCGTTCACCTGTCGGGTCCCTTTGCGTGTCCGGAGTCGGTTCCCAGCGTCAGCGGTCCTCCCGCCCTGCACCCCACGCCTCCGAGGGGAGGTAATAGTTCAGGCTCCGGTATTGACGGCGTCCTTCACGCCTTCCTCCACGCGCCCCTCTCTTGCTCCGCATCCTCGCGGGTGCCAAAGCGGGAGGACTGGGCGTTAACGTGGCTCCCGCCCCCTTGTGACTTCAGGTTCGAGGAAGAGTTTGGGTTTTCTTTAGACAAGCTCTAGGTATTTGTGCTTTCCTTCCGTGACTGGGACGGGGGCCTGGAGCCCCTGGCATCCTAGACACCCAGCCCGCGAGATGTCCCTGACCACTGAGTAAGCGCCGGGGCGGGGAGGTGGGGGGGGGGAGGTGCGGCCGCGGCGCCGAGTCACCTCGCTCGGGTTGCGAATTGCTCGCGGGCCAGCCGGGGAGCCAGGGAGCGAGCGCCTGCGCGGCCGCCCCCCGCAACCACGCACGAATGGAGCAGAAAGGCACGCGGGGCGCTCAAGGTTCGGGTGTCTACGCGCTTGCAGAGCCGCTCGCGATCCCACTCCGGGGAGGGTCTAAGGACTGCCGAGCCCGCCGCTGGGAGCCTGAGCTGCCGCCTTTCCAGTTACGATCTTGCCTGTCACGCGTGAGCGCTTGTACCGTTTCAGGCTCTTTCAGGGGTCCCCTGGAGCAGACACACACAGAGGGTGGGGTTCCCCTCAGGACTCAGGCTCCCCATCTCACTGCCCCTTATCCTGACTCCTGTCACTTGGAAGGTTGGCTTGTGAAGTCGTCTCAAAACAGTGCCCTCGCTGGGACTGAACGGGTGGGTACCCCAGGGAACCCTCAACCCGGGTTGGTCTGTCTGAAAGGTGGCGTCTTCCAGAGATGAGGAGACAGGCGCGAGAATGGCACCTCTCCCTGCTCCCGGGTAGCCTGGCGCGTTGGCCCTCTGGCGTCTGTGCCCGCGTGGGGAGTCCATTCGCGAATAGCAGGGCTGCGGGCGACCCCGGCTCCAGCGCGGGGGACGCTGGCGGGGTCACGGAGGGAAAACCCTTCCCGGAGCTCGCGGGGCGCGGAGAACGAGGCCACTGCCGTGGCGCCTCAGACCGCCGCCGCCGGGGAGCCAGTGACGCTTGGCGGCGACGGGTCCCGCGCGCGGACCCCCTCTCGGAGCGCCGGCCAGCGAAGGCCCTCGGGGCGGGCGCGGGTGCAGCTGCGGGGACACAGCCCGGGCTTGTGTGAGGTGGAGATCTAGTGATCGCTTCTCTGACGCTGTTTGTCTCCGCCCTGTCCCTGGACGTGAGGGTCCCCTGAAAGCTCCCTTTGTGCCACTAGCCTCGGGCAGACAAGGTCTGATTCACCTGAAAATTGCCTTTAAAAATCGTAGCTGGGCCCAAGCGCCAGGGGCTCCGGCTAGGTCTCACCACCTCTGGGACCGCGTAGCAAGGGGCAGGAGGGCCCAAGCTAAACATGTCGGGGCACCCGATTTACTCTTCTTGGCCTCTGCACGGTTTGTGTTCTTCGTAACTCCTCCGTCCACCCTTTCACTCAAGCCGCGCGGCCGCCTCACCGAAGGAGCGGCCTGGGGCTTGAGCCTTGCCCTTGCGCCCTGGTGGTCCCTGTCTCCTCGCCTTGCCGGTCCGCCGACACTTCATCTCAGGTGGGTGGGGCGACGGGTGCCGGGGCCAAGGGCAGTCTCTTGCTTTACATTGCTCTGACCCACTACTTCCCTCACCCCACCGAGGACCCCAGGGTCTGAAGCTACACAAGTGCTGGGGCGGGACAGGGTCCTGAGCATCAGTGTAGAGGTGCCTCCGATTGCAGTTTGGGGGCCCCTGTTTTTGAAGGAAGACACGGGAAAGAAACCTGGCCATCTACTGGTTCCCACCTCCCCCAGCTGACCGCCGAGGACAACCGTGCAGGAAGCTGCCCGGTGATGCTGCCCCAAGGCGGCGGGGACCAACGGGTGGCGCACCTCTAGGTTCATACTCCGGAGAAATCGCAGGCAAAAGGCGAACTGCTTTTCGACCGGCCTTAATCGTCTCAAGGCCAAGTCGGAGGCGCCCTCTGGTTGTGCAGCGGGGGGTGAGAGAGGGAGTGGGTGGCTTTGGGTTAAAATTCCAATTATTCTGTGAGAGTGGGGCTGGGAGAGAGCTTCCGTAGCAAGGGATGCTCCTTGCTGCTTCGCCCTTGAGTCGGCCTTTGCGGCTGGGTTTGCTGGTACACTCCTGGGAGAGGGGCGACCCCTTGCGTCCTTCGAGGAGACAGACCCAGGCTCTTGGCAGGTGCAGTATGGCCTTTGGAGAATGAGGGAGGAGTGGAGGGTAAGGAGAGATCTTTATGAAATGTCTAGAAACTCAAGGCCAAATTGCATGTGCACATGCTTTTTTTTTGGAAATTTCTGAAAGAAACGTATAAGAACTTTTTCCTCCAATGAGGTCTAGGAAAAAAATTAAAGATAAGGTATTTTAGAAAAAAGCCGTATTTACTTTTTCCTAAAAGAGACAACTAATGTGAAAATTTAAGAGTATCCCTTTTGGCCTGTAGTTAAATAGCTTCACTTTTCTAAGCTTTTAAAATACAAGAGGTAGAAAATTAAGGTGTAAGAACTTTTTTCAAAGTTTTTTTAAGTGGTCTCTTGAATGTTTTAGTAGAAAAGTTTCTTGCCAAAAGAAAAAAAAAGACATTTGCTTGTAGTGTTCAATATTGTCAAGTCTAAGGAATCATGGCTAATCCTCAGGTGTAGCAGATAAAGCCACAGTAGTATTGTCCTGTTCTCCTGAAACAACTGCTATACCAATTGTCCCTACGTTGTGAAAACTAGTGATCTTATAAAAGAAAGAGCATTTTAAACATAAATTTTGTACCTTAAAAAATACCAGTGGAGTTATGGGTGAGTAAATACACAATAACTTTTTTACCTATTTGGGTTCATATACAGCTCCTACAGATTACTAAGTTGAATTTATTTAAGATAAAAATGAAATGCAGCCCTTATTTAAAATTCCCTAACCAGCAGTGTTTTCAGAGGCAAGGTTTGGACTTTAAGTACAGTGTTGAATCAAGAACCCCAAGTCCAGTTTTTAACTCATTTCCAGCTCAGTCTTTGCAACTAGTACAGTCAGGTTCTGAATTCCAGGTTATCTGCTAATAAAAGTAAAGATCATATTTGCCATAATGATAATAAACACAATACCTTACTATTGCACTGCATTTCCCTTGAATTATACACTCAGACTTCCAAATAGTAACTTGAGGTGCAGGTATTAATATTCCCATTTTACAGAGAAAGAATTTCAATAACAGAAGCTAAGTAACTTATACAAAGCTATACAGCTGGTAGGTAGAGCTTGTATCCTGCTATTTACACTACCTGCTGATCCAGGTCACAGAGAAGATGTCAGGTATGTTAAAGTAATAAGTCTGTTGGTCTCCAGACCATCATTTATCCACTTTGTTTGGAAAATAAGCTGTTCTGGTTGATTGGAAATTTTTGAACTGATATTTATATTATTATACATCAGTAGCCAATGTCAAAGAATTAAATATCTGGTAATAACAGGAATAATGAATAGCAATAGTGAAGCTTGCTAAATATAGTAACATTATATGATTATTCAGAAGACATTGTAGGATCATATTATTCCAGGAGATTATTGTTAGAAACATCAGATGTCTTTGTAGTATCCTTTTTATTTGATGCCATCTATTAATTGGGTTTTAATTGTCTAGATTCTAGATACACGCAAGTTTTGAAAAACCATTGTGTGTATACTAATGACAAAGCTCCCGTTGCACAATCTGTGAAACTTTTAAAAAATCATTCATAAATATGTCTGAAATAAAGGAGTAAGAATACAAGGAAAATAATTTTAATGGTAATAAAATAAAACCATCTTATCGGAATATACTGGTCATTGCTCACGACACTGTTTCAGATATTGAGCCATTATTTGAGATTCTGATATACTCTTGGTAATTACACTGCCAATTCTGGTAAATAACAAGTTAACCATAAGATAGAAAAATCTTTCATTCTACTGTGCATTTTGTAATATTCTGAGTGGAAGTATGGTTTGGAGATTGGCTACAATGCATTTTCTTACCTGTCTACTTTAGTTACCAGTCTACTTTGTTTTTGAAAGAAACATTGTTTAGGGGTGTCTGGGTGGCTCATTTGTTAAGCGTCTGCCTTCAGCTCAGGTTATGATCCCAGGGTCCTGGGATCGAGTCCCACATCAGGCTCTCTGCTCAGCGGAGAGCTTGCTTCGCCCTCTCCCACTCCCCCTGCTGTGTTCCCTCTCTCGCTGTGTCTCTCTCTGTCAAATAAATTAAATCTTTTAAAAAAAAAAGAAACATTTAATAAATAGGAGACATGAGTAAAATTTGCTAACGAAAGCATATTCTGCAACATATCATGTGATATCTGTATGAATTAAAGTCACAAATTTAAACTCTTAGGCAGTAATGTCAGTATCTAAATACAAGCAAAAGATTTATTTTTGTAAATTCTAATATATTCACTAGTACACTATCAGAGTTATTTCTTAAAATATCCTTTTGTTATACTATTTTAATTCTTTGTTTATTACTTAAATAGATTTTACTTAGAACATTAAGGATGAAAATTTTTAAATATTGTCTTTTTAATCCCAAATTATTCCATCTAAAGTAATTGAGAATATAAGAATGAGTGTGAAATTGATTTATTGTTCCTCTAAACATGAAAAATGAACAGTATTTCAACTTATAAGTAGATAAATTTTGCTAAATCATTTCTCCGTTAAATATTTACCCAGAATTTAATATTCTACAAATTAGGTCCTCAGAAAGCAATGAATAGAAATTACAACATGTAGTTACATTTGATTTTCAAGTTATTATGGGGAAACCATACATACCACAATACTACAAAACAAATTTATTAGTCATCTGATCATTTTAAAATA